CTGAATGCACAACATGTCAAACCTTGAAAGAGCACACCGGGTGCCAGTCCTCTCAGCTAAGAACAAGAAACTGAGGCTACAATTTGCACAGGCTCACCAAAATTCGACAAGGGAAGACTGGAAAAAGGTTTTTCAATGAGTGTTGATTTCTGCTGCAGCATTTGGATGGTAGGGTCAGAATTTGGCAACATGAAAGCATGAATCCATCCTGCCTTGCATCAATGGTTCAGGCTGTTGCTGGTGGTGTAATGGTGTGGGGGATATTGGCACACTTTGGGCCCCTTAGTACCAATTGAGTATTGTTTAAATAGCACAACACTGAGTTGTTGACCATGTCCATCCCTTTATGATCACAATGTACCCATCTTGTGATGGCTACTTCCAGCAAGATAATGCCCCATGGCACAAAGCTCCAATCGTCTCAAACTGGTTTCTTGAACATGACAATGAGATCAAATGGCCTCCGTTCACCAGATCTCAAACCAATATTCAATTCAATTCATAAAATGGAAGAATGCTGTTTTTGTAACATGGGAAATATGATTTTCAAAATACAAGTTGCTGTCTAATATAACACCCAGATTTTTGACTGTAGAGGAATCAACAGTGCATCCGTCTAATTGCAAATTGTAATCTAAGAGATTCTGTGTACAGTTTTTTGGTCCAATAAGTAATATCTCTGTCTTATCCGAATTTAGTAGGAGAAAATTATTGGTCATCCAACCTTTTACATTTTTAACACACTCTGTTAGCTTAGATAATTTAGAAGTTTCATCTGGTTTTGTTGAGATATATAGTTGAGTATCATCAGCATAACAGTGGAAACTAATCCCGTATTGTCTAATAACATTACCAAGGGGCAACATGTATATTGAAAATAGCAGAGGACCTAGGACAGATCCTTGTGGCTCTCCATATTTTACTGGTGATAATTGAGATGATTCCCCATTTAAATAAACAAACTGGTAGCGATCGGACAATATGGCACCTTCAGGACATAGTGGAACAGAGATTTGCATCATGGATGTGCAACTGACAAATCCGCAGCAACTCATGATGCTATCACTGACAAAATATCTAAGGAATGTTTCCAGCACCTTGTTGAATCTATGCCATGAGGAATTAGGGCAGTTCTGAAGGCAAAAGCTGGTCCAAACCGGTACTAGCAAGGTATATCTAATAGGGGCAAAAGGGTTCAAAGTGCTCACAGTTCAGTATGTATTACGGTTTTGGTACAGTTTGATTTGGGGTGTATTCTTAACGTGGTACTAGAAATTAAAAAAATGGAAAAGTTTTTTACTAGAAAAACATTTTAACTTAAAAATACCAGCATTATTATGCTACACCCAGGGCTAATTTATTAAAGAACAAATATTTTCAACTGAACGTGCGTGAAGGCATTTCAAAATTATGTTTTCCTTAAATCATTCCGGTGACCCTTTTTTGTCTCTTGATTTATTAAAGAACAAATATTTTCAAATGAACGTGCGTGAAGGCATTTCAAAATTACGTTTTCCTTAAATCATCCCGGTGACCCTTTTTTGTCCCTTGATTTAATGTGTGCATTGGTGTGCACAAAAAAGTATAAATTAAATGAAGTAATGCCTTACCCATTAGGCAAAGGTAGGCGACCGCCTTGGGCCCCCAAAAGCCAAGGGCCTCCTAAAATGCTTTTCATATAGGATATGCGCATTAAGCACTGACACGTTGCTGTTTACAGTGTTTATTACCACGACAACCATCCGAGTCAGTGGCGCCTGCATGTGTACAGCACTGTGAGTACCATGAGCGCTCAGACTGACCTCAGATTTGCCCCGCAAACATTTCAGCAGTTATCATAGGCCTGTGTGTCCCATATTTCTGTCGACTGAACCAGTCATGCCATTAATTATGAATTTATCAGTCTTTTGCATGCCAAAGTCAATTTCTGCATAGAAATATTATGCCAAATAGAAGCAGAAAATCGTGCTATACTACGCACTTTCATGAGATCGGGTTAGCCTACAACAATTAATTTGTTGGCTATTTTACAAATGGGAATACAACGAATTCATGACAATGTTTACATTCAAGCTACCCGTAAAATGTATAATGAAAAGTACTATAAAAGCGTCTGGAATGCAATAAAGTAATTTTAAAGCTGTTTTTAAAGCATTTGCTGCATGGGTAAAAAAAAAATAGGTTAATAAATAATTCACATAGGCCTATACAAATTTGCGTTGCAGCAAATCCTTTAAATTTTCAGGTATTCAGAACAGAGCAACATAAAAATCAGAAAAAGCAGCTATACAATTATAGGACAAAGTTTTACATATA